AAAAATGGGAGCAAAAACAAAAGTGTTGCATTTATATTTTTGTTCAGTGTAGTTTTTTTTCAAAATGTAAGAAAATGTTTAAAATTATAAATAGTGAAAAATTAAATATAAAACATTTCAAGTGTGAACCAAAATATAATACTAAATATTATACAAGTGATTTTTTTCTTAACCAAAATGACAGAAATGTCATAAAAACACATATTATTCTAATACGGGTCCTTTTTGACCCACTTATGGAAGAGTGTAGAGTCCAGTCACTCGTGCATCTAAGGGTTAATGTGGCTTCCTCCTGAGTGCATTACATGATACTTTTTTGAGCACCAGTCATCAAAGTTGGCATCGAACAACATTTAATTTATTGGAAGAATTCATGCCACTTGGTTCATTTGACTCAAATGAACCGAAATATAATGATTCGACATCACAGATGAGAAATATATATTCAATAAAATGAATTCTGTATAGTCCTAACCCTTCATTCATAAGTGAATATGCTGCCATCCAAATAGTTTTAAAATAAAAAGTTACATCTGTAGCTTTTCTCTAATTCTACATTTTTAGAATCACAGCAATAGAATAAAATAAAAAGTAGCTTGGGTTATAAAAAGGTGCGCAGAAAAACATTTTTAGTTAGCAGAACATGTCAAATCACTCACATGCCACTACTTACTAAAATGCATTTGTAGACGTCAGACTTCTGGTAATCTCAGTATGATCTGATAAGTAGACATCAGCCTGGATCCCAGTAACTGATTGTGATGAGACAACATGTTGATGATAGTTAGGTCTGCAAGTGTCACAGTGATGAGTGCTGCGTATTCAAGTTAGGGCTATGTTAGGCTATACTAAAATGCCTGAATTAAAGACAATCATTTTCTCAGTATGTTTGCCTTTTGTCCAGACTAAATGTCTTGTGGTATCTTATTCTTTTGACAATACATAGACAATAAATTATCTTTTATATCATACAGTTAAGCTTGAATCATGTATAAACACAACTGCTTCAAACAAGATACAATAAAATATAGTGAACTCACAAAGTCTGAGCTAACTATTTACTAACAATGTACAAGCAATACGATCAAAACAAAAACTCAACTTGGTATTTCAGGGGTTTATTTGGGATGGAATTGTAAGATGTTCTTTCCTAACGACATGTGTTCACCTGCGCTCTGTGACCGGTGAGATGATCCAGTGTGTGTTTTCTCTGTTAGACTGCTAGCATGATGTCCGGCCAGGAGGAGGAGGAGCTACCTGTCAATCACACAGGTCAGAGGCATGAGTCAGAGAGATGCAGCAGACATGAATTGCTATATTGGCAGTCTAAATTCACTCTCAGTATTATACGTTTTCAAAATCATCATATCATCATTAACACTTTGACATAAAACCGATACATATGTATTTTATTGAGATATCATGCAATTATATTTCTAATGACTTCATGCAGTTTCATTTATACGTTATATTTAAGTGCGTTTTCATGTTTTTATTTGTGGTCTTTCTCTGTATCTGCAGGTCCAAAGGGTGTAATAAATGACTGGCGGAGGTTTAAGTTGGACAGCTTGGATCCGACTGTCCCTCAAAGCAAGAGAGAGCTGCTCAGACAAATGTCCAGCCCAAGAGAGGATGACAAGGAGAGACTCAACAGAAAGGTGGATGGAAACACTCATTGAACCTCACACAAAGGAAAGCATGACATTGATAGATATTAGAGTAAATTAGAGGATGACAATAGACTAGAACTGTACAGTATGTGCCAATGAAATGCTTTCTACAGAGATTTAGAATCCAAATGACAGCCTGAGTCTTCCACACACAAAGAAACAGACATACACAAGACAGACTTAATCATACAACTAAGGTGCAGAATATTCTACTGCAGCTTTTTTTTGTTCCTCAGTATGTAGCTGTAACAAAATATTCCTCACCCCCAGATGAGTGCTCAGGAGTACGAAATGATCCAAGAGGAGGATGAAGGTAGCCTGAAGCGCTACAGAACTCAGTCCATGCAGGAGATGCACGAGCGCCTGAGCTTCGGACCCGCGTTTGAAGAAGTCAAAGAACTTGAGTCTGGAGACGCCTTCCTAGAAGTCATAGAGAAGGAACATCAGATGACTCTCGTGATAGTCCACATTTACCAGCACGGTGTCAAAGGTTGGTTTTATAGGTTTAGCTCATCGACTCATGTTACAATTAGGGCTGCCCTCAACTAAGCATTTTTCTAGACGACCGATCGTCTTCAATTAGATTAGTCGACTAATTGTTGCACGTTTATGATATATTTATTGTAAGGCACTTTGGATAAAAGCGTCAGCTAAATGCTATGTAATTCAATGTAATGTAATATATGTTTCCACTGCTGTACTGTTTGCTAACAGTTCTTCCTTGTTTCCTCCTGTGTTAGGCTGCGAGCAGCTGAACTCATGTCTGGACTGCCTGGCTCTGGAGTACTCCAGCATTAGATTCTGCCGTATTGATGCTGTGGCTACAGGCGCTGCTGAGCGCTTCACCCCTGAGGTTAGTAAACTCTCTAAAGTAAAGCAGCAGAGAAAGTAATAATAATGGTAATATTATTAAGACATGACCTATGACCAATTACACATATTTGATTGAATCATAATATTCCCTATCAGGTATATGTAGCAGTGTTTGTAGTCACACTTTTAAGAATAACTGTGAGGTCATGAGAAGCACATTGACGTTAAACACCTCACATGACCATTATTTGTCCAATTTGAGTGTGTGGCACTAAAGACCAACACCTTTTAAAAAACCAGAACCAAAGAGCACAATCAAATTATTGACAAGACAAAATTGCTTTTGTCCTCTTATCATTGTGAACTAAATCATGCCTGAATGCAAAGCTTGACATGCAAAGCTTGACATGCATAGCGACAATAACTAAATTGCTGATTTTTTTTGTCATATTTAACGGCTAAAACAAATCAAATAGTTGGTTTAGCATTTTCAACAGTTTAACTGAAATTGGAGTTGCATTGATCTCCTTGTTATGGTAAAAAGGTTAAAATGATTGTTCTAAGAGAATAAGTATTGACTATAAAAGCAGTGTCACTTCCACTGAGCAGCCTCAGCCTGCAGGTTCATCTTCCTGTTCATGTGCTTCCAGGTACTTCCTGCCCTGCTAGTGTACAAAGCTGGTGAGTTACTGGGTCATTTCCTGACTGTTACCAAACACTTCAATGAAGACTTCTTCGCAACAGATGTGGAAGGTTTTCTCAATGAATATGGCCTGTTACCGAAGAAGGAGTTCACAGCATGGGCTGATGATGAGGACGAAGGAGGGGATGTGGAATAGTAGCAGAAGGAAAGAGAAACAGATGGAGGAGAAGGGGGGAGTTTGGAGAAAGGCAGAACTGGAGTAAACAGAGAGGGAATATAACAATAAAGGAGCATGGGAATAGAGAGTTGAGGAAAGGGATTGGGGAAGAACTGGAGGAAAACAGTGGCGGGGAAATGTTGCAGTCATGACACTAGAGTTAGAAAAACCTGTACATGGCACGTGCAAATAAATACACAACAGTCAAATATGCCAGACACTGAATGCTGGTTATATAAACAGAGTAAGCTGCCGTTGTTGTGAGAAAGTCTGTGCTGAAATATTGCTTTGCATCAACATCATAGCTTTACAATAAAAGGCAACTTAACCAAATCCTCTCTGTCTGTCTCTGTTTGGATCACAATACAGATATTCAGCAGGTCAGCTGTCAGACTTCTTTTGTGGTAATATTTGTACTTGCCACAATAGTACGTGGTGTGTGTGGGTAACATGCGTTTTTAAGTTGTTGAGATTTCACCCATCCACATCCGCACAGCAAACAATGTGTACGAATTAAGTGTGACATCATTGAGGGACACACAAGTTACACATATTTGAAAAAGCAGTTTTAATAGAAAGATCCAATTTCAGAGACAAGTCCCATGTTTTGCAAATCCATAATTTTAAATTATTATAAATGATTGTTGCGGGAAAATATAGTTTAACATGTTATCTCATACTGTTGGAGCTGTGTGATTTTGCAGCTCCTCCTGGGAGACCGGAGGAGCCAAGACTGGATTAATTTGTTTCTACACAGAAAATATAGACTGTTCTCTCCTGCATTTCTTTAGAGTTGACTCTTTTAAGGGCAAAGAGCAACATTCACTACCGTAAAGGGAACATATGTAACAGGTCACACTACTGTCTACTTGGATTGGTTGCCAACCTGATTTACGAATATTATGCTGAATGCCGTGAAAACTATATAAGTGTAACATTACTTTCTGCCAGGGGCGGACTGGCCATTGGGAATACCGGGAGTTTTCCCGGTGGGCCGGTGCTGTGTTTTTTTGGGGGGTTGGCAGGGAAACGGGGTTCAGGAGGAGTGGCTGTACCCGTAGGATAGAAAAGAGGGAAGTGACGCCTGACTCAGAGGTCGCGCGGCTGTGGAGAAGAACGTGTTGCCCACATTCTGTTAATGAGTTTAGGCTAGTTAGCTAGCAGGTTTATTGTTTTGGGTGCAGTCACTTTTGCCTCCACTTGCTGTTCAAATACATGTTCCCGGGGGAGCATGCCCCCGGACCCCCCTAGAGGAGGTGAGGTCCACCACCTGCCCACACCCCCTGTTAAATTGTCTCACCCACATTGAGGATGCTTCCTACGCCCATGTTTTATTCCATGCGTTAAGTCAGGCAAATTGGGTTCAAATGTTATTGCATCAATTATCTGTTAACATTAAAATCACTAAATATATGCTGTAACTATTTTTGCTCTAGGCAACTCAAGGGCTCAGGTAATCTGATTACTATAAGAATAATGGTCCAAAATAACATAAAATGCATCGGGTTTTTTGTTAAGTAACATACTTTCGTCGCCGGCTGGCCGATACATGCCGCGCATTAAGTGGGCCTGTCTGTCAATTAATCCCCGGGCCACTTTCCCCCCCCAGTCCGCCCCTGCTTTCTGCTCCTTTTAGCAGCATACCTCGTGTGTGTGAGTTGAACCATATCTCTGTATGTGATTTAACTCCTTCTTGCAATAATAAATTGGGACCTGATCATTGATTCTCAAGCCATGAGAAAAGCCTTTTAAGTTATAAAATCTATGGCAATAAACAATCCCCATAACCAATGGTTGATGTGTAATGCGTTAACTACACGAGGGTACAAAGGTGACAGAATTAAGGATTAGGCCTACAGTGTTTTAAGGTTGTACGTTATTTGGACGGTCATTCATGTTAATTGAAGCTCCAAGGGGAAGTATTTAGTCCGATAGTTCAAATTGGATGGATCAGTTCAACTTTCAACGCTGCTCTGGTGGAGCAAACATCCCCGAGTTCAGCCTCTCAGGTGCTTGCTTCCTCTCAGTCTCAACTGTTCCCAAAATGCTATACAAATCAAACGGTGTTGTTTTCTACATGATCAGGTGTTATGGTAAACCTTGATAAAAAATTTGGTTAGCTATGTATCTGTCAATATGTTTTATTGGAGCAGTTATTATGCTTAGCACGAACATAAATGCTGCCTGGTAGTCTGAACTTTGGGAAACATATCTTCCATGTCCCATGTTTGTAGTCCATTCTCACTGTTTTGACAGTGGGGCTAGCGATTAGCACAAGGATTCTATGTTCGTGATTTGTGTGATCCAATAAATGTTAGCGAGCAATTACATTAATTAATAAAGTGAAACCTCACATTTGAAGAAGATGCAGGATGACGCGCGCTACCTCAAACGGTGAGTCATAGAGCTAACATGAATCCAACAGCGTTAGTTAAATATGTTTTGAAAGTAACGTAAGCTAGCTAGCATTACTACCATTCTTTCTGCAATATATCTGTTATTATAATTAAAATATGCCAACATACTACGTCAGCTGCAACTATAGACGTTTGCCAAGCACCGAGGGTTGATAAGACTAGTGTTAGTTATTGAAATCCAATCGTATCTAATTAGCCTTGTTAACGTGTTATTACCTGGAGAGAAGCTCACACCAATGACTACTATAATTTCGGGTAATTTTATGTTTTCGTGGTCTTCGGGCAAAGGGAGCACCTAATGTTGGTGGTCCTAAGAGTTTTTTTTATTCGCAACAAATAAAACACCTAGGTGGAGAAACATCTTACATTTGTCATGCTTGCAGCTGATCTTTGTGAATCGGTACACCGAACAAACTTGTGTTGTGTGGTGGATTTTCACAGTGCCGAATCTACCACAATACCATACAAACACTACATATGTATTTCATTTCCAACCGACCAATTATTTATGCCGCGAAGCACAACGCCATTAAACCAACAGATAATTGAACGGGGTTCGCCATTACGTTCCCTTAATAAAGGGGGCTGGGGTATCTTCGTTACAGCTTACATAGCTGGCAAGCTACTGTGAAACATGGAGCGATAAACTGACTATCAAACGAGCTGTCTTCTGTTGAGCTGTCTTACACTGAGTTGAGCTAGTTTTTCTTATGGTTCAGCTCTTTATGTTATGAAACATATGTTAGTCGGTTAACAGGCCTCTGCTGTACAGTATCTCGCTCTCTGGGTGTGTCTTCCATTACACTAGGCACTATCATATGTTTGTTTTGATGGATGCTTACATAGATGGTTTAATGTGTTTGAATGTTACTGGCTTGACAGCCGAGGACCATAACAGGGTATACCAATATCTTTATGCATTTATTTTTGCTTGTTTCCTTAATCAACATTTAAAGTCATTTAGATTAGATTACACTTTATTGTCGTTGCACAGAGTACAGATACCAAGACAACGAAATGTAGTTAGCATCTCACAAGAAGTGCAAAACAAGCAGAAAGTGCAGAATTATTCATGCTATCATATACATACAGTGGGGCAAAAAAGTATTTAGTCAGCCACCAATTGTGCAAGTTCTCCCACTTAAAAAGATGAGAGAGGCCTGTAATGTTCATCCTAGGTATACCTCAACTATGAGAGAGAAAAATGAGAAAAAAAATTAAAAAAAATTCCAGAAAATCACATTGTCTGATTTTTTATTTGCAAATTATGGTGGAAAATAAGTATTTGGTCAATAACAAAAGTTCATCTCAATACTTTGTTATATACCCTTTGTTTGCAATGACAGAGGTCAAACGTTTTCTGTAAGTCTTCACAAGGTTTTCACACACTGTTGCTGGTATTTTGGCCCATTCCTCCATGCAGATCTCCTCTAGAGCAGTGATGTTTCGGGGCTGTCGCTGGGCGACACGGACTTTCAACTCCCTCCAAAGATTTTCTATGGGGTTGAGATCTGGAGACTGGCTAGGCCACTCCAGGACCTTGAAATGCTTCTTACGAAGCCACTCCGTCGTTGCCCGGGCGGTGTGTTTGGGATCATTGTCATGCTGAAAGACCCAGCCACGTTTCATCTTCAATGCCCTTGCTGATGGAAGGAGGTTGTCACTCAAAATCTCACGATACATGGCCCCATTCATTCTTTCCTTTACACGGATCAGTCGTCCTGGTCCCTTTGCAGAAAAACAGCCCCAAAGCATGATGTTTCCACCCCATGTTTCACAGTAGGTATGGTGTTCTTTGGATGCAACTCAGCATTCTTTCTCCTACTCACGTCTAGTTGAGTTTTTACCAAAAAGTTATATTTTGGTTTAATCTGACCATATGACATTCTCCCAATCCTCTTCTGGATCACGCTCTCTAGCAAACTTCAGACGGGCCTGGACATGTACTGGCTTAAGCAGGGGGGAAACGTCTGGCACTGCAGGATTTGAGCCCCTGGCGGCGTAGTGTGTTACTTTGGTCCCAGCTCTCTGGAGGTCATTGACAAGGTCCCTCCGTGTGGTTCTGGGATTTTTGCTCACCGTTCTTGTGATCATTTTGACCCCACGGGGTGAGATCTTGCGTGGAGCCCCAGATCGAGGGAGATTATCAGTGGTCTTGTATGTCTTCCATTTTCTAATAATTGCTCCCACAGTTGATTTCTTCACACCAAGCTGCAGATTGGCAGATTCAGTCTTCCCAGACTGGTG